AGCCATCATTGTTGTTTGGTGGGCCCAGGCTGGATTTGAACCCACCAGGTCAGGTGTATATGGCTGGTCCCTTAGCCGCTTGGGCCATAGGCGCTGAGCCTCTTTTTAGTTCCTGAGAATCATTCCTCATCAATGCCAAAAAGATTCTTGTATCTTCTCTCTTTTTTTAAAAAAACATTTTCAGGTATTCTGTTTTTTTTTTTTTTTTTGAGACAGAGCTCACTTGGTTATCCTCAGTAGAGTGACATTAGCTCACAGCAACATCAAACTCTTGGGCTCAAGTCATCCCCTTGCCTCAGCCTCCAGAGTAGCTGGGATTATGAATGCTGGCCACAACACCAGGTTATATATTTTTTTTTTGAGACAGAGTCTTACTATGTCACCCTTGGTAGAGTGCCATGGCATTATAGCTCACAGCAACCTCAAACTCTTGGGCTTAAGTGACTCTCTTGCCTGAGCCTCCCAAGTAGCTGGAACTACAGGTGCCTGACACACGCCCAGCTGTTTTTTTTTTTGTAGTTGTCATTGATGTTTTGGCAGGCCTGGGCCAGGTTCAAACCTGCCAGCCCTGGTGTTTATGGCCAAATGCCGAGCCACATCAGGCTATTTTTTTAGAGATGAGGTTTTACTCTTGCTCAGCCTCGTCTCCAACTTGTGAGCTCAGGCAATCCACCTGTCTCAGCCTCCCAGAGTGCTGAGATTACCTGCGTGAGCCACCTCGCCCAACCCATTTTCAGGTGTTCTGATGTGACTAAAACAATTTATTAATTCCTTAGTGGACACTTAGGTTATTGAAAATCTGGAGCTATTACAAATGATTGCGGCCCCATTCTTAGAATAAATTTCCTGGATCTATAGGTCTTCAAATTTTCCCATAGTCTATCTAGCTACAGCAGTTTATTCCCAGCTGGAAGTTCATCACTGAAATTTCCACTTAGGAATGCTGATCCACTAGACCAGAATCAGCGCAAGTCTGAGTCCCTACCAAGCCTAGATGCCAGCATCAAGGTTCCCTCTTGGTCCAGGGCTATAGTCCCAACATTAGCCATGAAAGCCTTGACAGGTTCCATGCAGAAGCAGCATGGATTTGGTGCCACACTCAAGCCATGTGTTAGCAGCTGGGCCTTGGGGGTCTATACTCAGCCATCATGGTTGAAGGGCTGAGGAGAGGCTCATGGTTGAGAAGGATAGCCAAGAGGATGTGGCTGGGGGGGATGGCCAAAAAGGGTGGCCTGAGGGGACTGAGAAAGGTTGACTAAAGAGAGGAGCCAACGAGGGGAAATACAAGGGTGGACAATAGCTTACCTGTGGTGCTATAGCCTGCTGGCTTGGACCTGCCATGTTGCAGAACAGCTCTTCCAATGAGGCCAGACCCCCCTTCGGGTCTGAGTCTAGGAGCTCTTGCTCCAACTCCTTGGGCAGCTGGTGAACCAGTCTCCTCAGGCCCTGGGGTCCTGCCGCACCTACTGATATCTGGGCTGGGGCCTCCTGGCTGGCTTGCAGTACCCTCGGGCTCAGGAACTGTATAGGTGGTGGGCTCCAGTCAGCGGGGAACACATCTCCAGGCACCTGCACCTTAGGCTTCTTTGGTGATTTGGGAGTTGGAATTGGGGAGGGGCTGTAGAGCCGCCGGACAGGGTGGAGAAGTTCCTGGTTCAGGGAATGGTCGAAGAAACTGTGCTTCAGGTTAGGCAAGATGATGGACACAGTGGTAGCTGCCTGGTCCCCTGTAAACAGTACAGAGAACTGTGGCACCCTTGCCCACCACTATCCCAGACACCAAGCCATGCTGGATAATGAGAGGGGCAACTAGGTGAGGAGGCAACATGGGACTGGTGTGGGTGGTATGTAAGAGAAATCCCTCAACCATGGGTTTTCCATTGCCCCTTGGCCCCAATCCTCATGTGGGCTCTACCTGTACAGACTAGGCATACTTACCTTCTGTCTGAGGAAGGGGCAGCAGAGTCTTCTGGGGCCTGGCCATCTGAAAACCATGGGATGTTCTGTCCTAAAAGGAAATGAATGTCAGGTGAGGTAAACCTTCACAAGAAAGCTGAAGGCTCTGAACCCCTAAGTATCCCAGAGAGAAGGGCCTACGTCTGACAGTGTCTAGGAGGGATTCCTTCTCCAGGTCCACACCAAAGACCAAGCACTGTGGTACCATCAAGGTCAAAGTGCTGAAGTGAAGAAGGCACAATATGACTTCCCATTTCAAGGATGTTACAGGGAAGCACTTATGGCTCAGTGAGTAGGGCACTGGCTCCATATACCGAGGGTGGCAGGTTCGAACCCAGCCCTAGCCAAACTGCAACAAAAAAATAGCCAGACATTCTGGTGGGTGCCTATAGTCCCAGCTACTCAGAAGGCTGAGCCAAGAGAATTGCCTAAGCCCAAGAGCTGGAAGTTGCTGTGAGCTGTGACGCCACAGCACTCTACTGAGGGCAACAAAGTGAGACTTTGTCTCTTAAAAAAAAAGGGGGCGGGATGTTACAAACAACTGTAAGAACATTAACATTTTTTAAAAACTCAAACAAAATTAAAACCAGTACAGCTTAGCAGAAAACCTGTGTTCTAAAATGACATCCCTCATGTCTTGCTTGCTTGGTGTCACCCAGTTAAGCCGTTTGCTCACAAATGGTGGAGCAGGGATGTCTGGTCCCTGCCATTTTCCAAACACCAGCACAGATCTGGCGCATCGTAGGGATCTGTGCATTTCTGTTGAATGTATAAGTGACTTAAAGAGACCCTGGGGCTGGCCCAAAAACCCTCCGCTAGCCTGAGGAGCTGCTCATCTCTAGCCAAGAGGGGTCATGCCATATACACAGACATCTGTTAGATCAGGCCCATGCTCAGATACACTGCAGTGCAGATGAAAAGCTAATAACTAATGAAATGCTATCAGTCTAATGATAAAAAGAAATGGAAGTTTATGAAAACAAATACTAACTCAACAACAGTTCAAACTCAATAGTGAAAGAAATTAAAATCAACATGACTATGACCTATGACTTAATAATAAATAATCAAAAAGTAAAAATCTGAAACAACAAACATGGACACAGCTGTGAGGAAATGCACTGCTGTTAGCACTTAAAATAGCTTCTTGGGCAGCACTTGTAGCTCAGTGGGTAGATTGCCAGCCACATACCCAAGGCTGGCTGGTTCAAACCCAGCATGGGCTTGCTAAAACAACAATGACAACTGCAACAACAACAACAATAGCCAGGCATTGTGACAGGTGCCTGTAGTCCTAGCTATCTCAGAGGCTGAGGCAAGAGAATCGCTGAAGTCTAAGTTTGAGGTTGCTGTGAGCTGTGATGCCATGGCACTCTACCCAGGGCAACAGCTTGAGACTCTGTCTCAAAAAAAAAAAAAAAAAGTTTCTTATTCTTAGAGGTCAAGCTGTCAATACGAAAATAACTGCCAAAATGTCCAAATCTAAGAGTGACATCAACAAAAATGAAAGCCCAGGGAACTCCCCAAATCTGCCCCTCCACAAACTCAATAATTAAGGTAGGAAAAACTGTCACAACCAATACTTAGTGAAATCTGAATTATAATAAAAAACTAATGGCAACCACAAAGCCTGACAAAGGAAAGGAAAAGGAGATACACGGGGGAAACAAAGGCTTTGAAACAAAGCTCTCATGTAAACCAGAGAATCTAGAAGGCTACATGTGTGCCCAAGGCTGGAAGCACACTGAAGAAAGAACTAAGGCCCTCATCTTGTATCTCTAGCTCATTTTGCTCCACACAGCCATAAAGTGAAGGTTAAGGCAGAGTGGCAAAGGCATTGGCTCCTTCATAAGCATTGAAGGAGTACCCCCAACACAGCCAACCTGCAAGTGCCAAGAGAATCTTCTTTTTTTCTTTGTGGCACTGTATGTTTAACATCTATCCAATCACCAGTTGATCACTAAATGGAAAGAACAGAGACAGTGATCATACTCAATAAAATAGTCTTTACAAAAATAGTTAGAAAAATCACCAAACGTCTACAACCCCGAAACAAGTAGCAACAACAAACCCTGAGGCAGAAAAAGAATCTGATTTCCAGAGTTACTGTATTGTCATAGTTAAAATGTCCAACTTTCATTAAAAAATAATAAGGCAGGCTCAGTGCCTGTGGCTCAAGCGGCTAAGGCGCCAGCCACATACACCTAAGATGGCGGGTTCAAATCCACCCCAGGCCCACCAAACAATAATGATGGCTGCAACAACAACAAAAAAATGGCCAGGCATTTTGGCGGGTGCCTGCGGTCCCAGCTACTTGGAAGGCAGAGGCAGGAGGAGATTCACTTGAGCCCAGGAGTTGGAGGTTGCTGTGAGCTGTGATGCCACGGCACTCTACCCAGGGGGACAGCTTGAGGCTCTGGCTCAAAAAAAAAAAAAAATAATAATAAGGCAGCCAAGAAACAAAGTATGGCTCATTCACAAGGAAAAAAAGAAATTAACAGAAGATGTCTCTGAGGAATCCCGGACATTGAACTTACTAGACAAAAACTTTAAATCACCTATCTTAAATATGCTCAGAATTAAAGGAAACCACGGGTATAGTGGCTTGTGCCTACAATCCTAGCACTTTGGGAGGCTGAGGCAGGAGACTACTTGAGGCCAGAAGTTCTAAACCAGCAAGAGCAAGACACCATCTCTACATAAAAATAGAAAAATTAGCAAGGCATAGTGGTGTGTGCCTGTAAGTTCTAGCTACTTAGGAGGCTGAGGCAAGAGGATCACTTGTGCAGAGGAATTTAAGGTTGCAGTGAGCTATGATGATGTCACTGTATGCTAGCCTGGGCAACAGAATGAGACTCTGTCTTAAAAAAAAAACAAACCGGCTTGGCGCCTGTGGCTCAAG